CCAGAATGCTTGTATGTTCAGATTGTACGAGGGACACTCATCACAAGTGTAGAGAGTTTAAGCATGATTCTGTTGAGGTGAGATGAACTTGTAGGGACCAGTAAACTTGATAGTATTTACATCTGGATATTCATGTACCGACGGTTCTATGGTGATATTGAAGAATTGACTGCGATACACTATGATCAACAATACAATACTAATTTGCTTCATTCCCACACATTGATTATTATGCAGCATGGAATACTCAATAATTTTTACCGTATTCCTTGAAATTTACTCAAAAAACATGATATGGTGAAGGTATTCAAAACTGATAATTGGATCTTTCTTGCTTTTACTAGTATCATTAAATTCAAAATGCGCTAAGTATAAAATAAAATTTTTACTGAAATTATAAAATCGTATATATTAGAAGGTGAAAGAGACGTTTATTTTGCTAATTACGCAGTTATTCATAAGTTTCACACTTGACACTGCTTATTTCACGTTACATTCTTGCCAAATAGGATATCGCCAAGCTTTTGCACTTGTTTAAACGAGCATGTAATCTTCATTGATGCCTTCTAGTCCTGCCTGATGAGGTTCAAAGGTTTAGCTGAGAAGAATTACGGTGTTTACAGACGGATAGTATGAATTCAAACCATCACATAAAAGGGTTCAGTTGTTTGTCAAATACAGTGGTGGCGACCTGACTTGTAGGCACACCTCATGCCACATTGTTACTCTTATCATTGTACCTTTGAGTTCTAGTAGAACAAAGGACCCAATTTGTGTGGTCCTCTTAGGCTGGATCACGATTGGCCATAGTCCCTCATCTCCTCCTTTCACGATCTCCTCCATTTCACCTTTCCGATAATTTACTTGACGTGTGATTTCACTCGATGGTTTCCTCAGCGTTTGCTGAGTACATCTCAATTTTCCAGGTCATACTCGATGACCAATAGTTTCTTGATGCTTTTTTCTCTTGCCGCCAAGGCTTTCTGGCCATTCGATTCTCAGTATGGAAACAGTAAAGGCAGCCGCAGACTGAAGTTTGCTGCTGGCTGTTGTATTTTTGGTCATCCTTTCTCGTTTGTGTGAATCCCTTCTCGTATAGAGACCCAGGAACTAGCTGATATAATATTCTAAGGACTTTCTTACGTGTGAATACTTCTGCTTCACTTGACAATGTGCTGTAGGATTGACTTTTGTCTTTACTAGCACTTTTCTTCACTTGCTCATTCAGTGCAGCGTACACTGAAATTAGTTCCCCTTTATGCTGTCCATCTTTGCAGTGAGTTATGTTCTCTTTCAACGTACCTCTCTCCTCTATTAGCTTCTAAGTATGCGTTGAGAGGCATTCCTTGTCTTGTCTTTTCCTTCTTGCTAAAACAGTTGTACACGTTTCCTAGAACACCACCTTCAGAGAGTTAGTTCCATTGTTCTTCCATGCAGGTTTCCTCAGTGAGAGTGCGCCGGATCTCCAAATTTGCTCTGTTCTGTGGTAGAAGTATTCCTTATAGTTTTGTGCTACAGTTTCTGAATGTTGATTCTGAATGAATTACATCAACCTGTCTTCAGTTGTCCTCAAGGATTTCAGCTCCATCTGAAAGGTTTATAGAACAAGATGATTATCTGAGCCCACATTCACCTCTGATCTCAACTTTGTGTCAAACAGGCGGCATCTCCACTTCTTTGAGCAGAATTGATATAAAGTCGTCTAGGTTTTTAGTGTATCTGTCAGGTGAAATCTATGTTGCTTGTATGTAACCTTGCACTTTCTTTCCTTTTCAGTTGAATCTTGCTGTCATATCCCTGGGTGAGGCTTGTTTTCAGTGTATAAGAGTTTTGGCTGCAGTTGATGACATTATGTTAGCCAGTCAGTGTGCTATTGGTTGTCTTCCGAGTGAATGGAGTAGAATAGTGGTCCTCCAATTGACAATTCAGACAGTCCACATCCATTTGATCTGATCTCAAAAATTCCTATCATTTCTTTGCTGTATTTTCTCATTTCTGTATGCCTAGGCGATCATCCAAACCTCATCCACTATGCAAACATGCCTTGCCCTCATTCATAAGACATGTTGAATGACTGCCACCCACCTCTCCAATTAAGGAGAAGAATAAATTTGCTTTTCACAGTTTCTGTATTTTACTACTTTTTTATGTACATTGACGTTCCTGTACCAGTTTAACTGAATTTCCAGGCTGGACTTTTAGCCACACGCTTATCACCTCTTTCTCAGGTTTGTGACCATCTATCAGACGAACGAAACAGTTAACTTTCAGGTTGCATGGTATACTGAAATCTTTCAGTAACCAACACCACATAACAGATTCCTCTTTGAACATCACAGGAAACACTAAGAATGAGAAAAAATTAACAATAACAAGATGCAAAAGTAAGCAAACTTTAAAAATAGACATTGACAGATACGTGATCATAATGACGTCCTAATGCAGAAGGCTGTTTGGAATACTTCCCAAGGAATCTACAATCTGTGGGATAGCCAGGAAAGGTCATACAACAGAAGCATTCCAAAATACTTAGTGTTCGATATGAATGCTGTGTAAACGACCTCAACTCGAAAAGCTTTACATGAAATACAAGTTCGTGTAGATCTGAAGGTGAATTTGACTACTTGATTTTCGGAGGAATTCAACGTAAGACTATTAAGACCACTGATTTGATGTCTTAATAAAGCTATTCATTTTGGGACAATCAGATAGAGACACGATTGGATCATCAGTGAAATTAAATTAATCATTTTCTGCCAAAAGAATGAAAATTGTGTAGGAAGAAAGGAAAAAGAATAAGGAACAAAAACGCTTCATTGAGCGAGGCAGTGGAAGATTTGCCTTTAAACGTAGTATAGTTAACTTTGTCTAAGATATAAGGACGCAAATGGTTGGCACTCCAGGACTCGGTTTATGTCAAGGGACGCTTCTCCAATGAAAGATATATGAATGGAGTCATATGCAGAAAGAAACATAGGTTACTTTCGTAAGAAGATTTTACAAAGTATCCGCACATTCTGAGGACAACAGTTGTTACGCGAATGGGAAGAAGGCTTTCAGAAGGTCCAGAGGATTGAGAAATTTGAGTACATTAGGGGTAGTGGCTTTTTGAGATAAGAAGAACAGAAACGGCTAGGTCTTTTGAATTGTATTTCGAAAAACAGCTGACCATGAATAATGTCAGTTAATTTTTCAGGTGCCAGTGAGTGTTTGTGATAATGTATATCGTTTATTTAGTAATACCTCTGTTGGGTTTTGTTGCGAAGATGCAGGAAGATGCCTGTATATGTTTTGCCGCATAATTTAGGCCACACTTGCATAATACAATGATCACAGTTCAGTAGTAAAGTAATTTTGATTGTCAAATATATTCCGGCGTAGTATGTGAATACTAAATCAAGTGTTTTTCTCAGTTCGAGTAGCGAAGTTGTGAATGTTTACATGACCTAGTGATTCTAGGAGAAAACATTCGCAAGAAGGGAGATTTCTAAAGAAGAACAGTGGCAGAAACTGTATATTTACTACAAAATCAAATAAATCCGAGAGAGAATAACCAATGGTAGCATAGTTGTATGAAATGAGAAATATTTAGTTATTATTATTATTTATTCTTCGACAAGTGTTTTGGATGAGACTGATATCACTTTAATTACTCAAATATGCGAACTATGAAATGTAGAGAACGAATGATGGTTACCGCCTTGCCATTTCACTTCATCTTAAAACAAAATCGATCCTGTCTAAATAGCATGAAACCATTTTCTGAAACAAGATTAGCATCATCAAGGTGGAGAAAAAGAGAAAAGATGTTGCAGAGATGCTGAGATTTGACAATTCACTTTTGAAGTCACGAAGCTACCAGCGACCAAAACATATCATCTTGTACTCATTTCACAAGAGAATATGCGTATCGGATTCAAATTACCCTTCCATTTTTGGAATCCTCTTTCCATTGAACCTCAGAAATAGAAGAATTGCTAATATAAAAAGTATTGGCTGAGTAATTCTGTCTCCGTGTACTCAGTTTCTATTTCCAGTCTCTACTCTCACTGTACGTATTCAGTTGTAGTGCTATCATTTTTCCCATCCTATTCAATCTATGTGTTCAACTATGTATGATGAATTATCCTGTACTGTAGATTTGACATAGCGAATTTATCTCCTCAATTTACGCTACCTACGCCTACACAATCGTGTATGCAATTCTTCTGTTATTCATTGAAAGGTATGCAAGAAAATGAAAAATATCAGACTGATAAGTGGTGGTCATTGTGAGTTCCAAGGCGGTGTTTATTAAACAGACAATATTACACGTCATTACAGAACATGTATGTAATTTACGATGAAGGAAAGACAGAACAATACTGTCTTTATGATAGACTCAAATTTTCAGGATGAATCTGTCAAACAGTTTCCATGCATTGGTTACACGAATTATTACTTGTGTCGACGTAGCCAGTTCATATATATATATAAGCCAGATAAGACATTAAATCTGTTAATCGTTACTGTGTTTAATGGGCTCATTTCACATTTTAATTATCTCAGAAAACTTCACCATGACTGATGGATAATAAAATCTGGGAAAATATGCAAATGTTGATGTTGGATTGAATAAATACCTAAAGGGTAGTTAGATAAATGTTCACCGATGATCCAGATACCTATAGCATTCTATCTCACCAAAAGGCTCTTTACCTTAGTGTGATAATTTGAATGACAGGACATGAATACATGAAGTTACATAAGACCACTACCAATGAAATTGGAGATTAGTAAAAGTGAAATTCTATGAACCTTAAATAGAAGTTATAAAAGTGCTTTTAGTGTTACACCGGGCTCAAAGCAACTTTCCTCAAGTCACTCTAAACTACAGATGTTTAACTTTCACTATACGTTGGCTAGTGAACTCCTGAAACTCAGTGTGAATTATGAAACTTTTCAAGTGAACATTGTAATCAAAGATGATGTGAAACAACCAAAATGTTATTCGAACTCACCTTATCACAATTCACAACAATCAAAACTATTGCGGTAATCAGACTGGCTAACGATAAACCCCACAGTGAAATTACAACCTTATCCTTCAGTCTTCTTGTCAAGAAGATGAAGGCGATTGTTAATATGTCTTCCAAACTTAAGAAGCCAATGAGGAGAGAACACGCCAATACACACTTCGATATCACTTCTCTACAAACTGTCAAACATATGAATGCAGAGCATAGTGAAAGCTGTCGGGAAAATAAATTGAAGATGTTTAATGAATTAAATGTGACAAATTAAGGAATTAAATGCTTCATTTAGACTCTAAAGACAGTAGCATCTAAGTCAGGCTCACTGCGTTGCGTTGCAATAACTACACTTGAATACTTCTGAAAATTGCATATCGACAAATATCGGAGTCACTTTGGTTTGTCGTTTTTAAAGCAATTAGTTCTTTTAATGAATTTCGACAACAATATTAGATGTTGTTTACCTGAAAGGTGTAATCTATTCAGCAACACATTTTGAACATTATGATCTACAGAGGGTACACTCGATATTTGTAGCACTCAATTTGAGAGCATGTATATCGATTTCACAATTATTTAAATGGTTCAGCATGTTGTGGTCTTAATTTCAGAGGAATCACTACTGTTGTAGAGGTACCCACTATTCTAATTCTGTGCTGCAGGCGGATATTATTATTGTTATAGCCTGGTCACATATGGAAGAGTGATATAGCCAAAAGAAAGTGCCACATATTCCGATGAGGCTAGCTAAATTCTCTCTTATGAATTTGTTCACCTTAATTTACTTTGAAATTACGAGAAATTTGTTTTTAATGTATGCTGTTGAAATATGGAAGAGAGGTTACGTAAAATGGTATGGCAACCAAAAACAATATTGAAGTATCGACTACACTTCGAAATTTATTGTGAATTTAATTCTTGAAAAAAATTGTGATAATAGGAAGGGAGTAACTAAACACTTTTAGAGTAATGGAATAACCCTTCATCAGTGAGCACAGTTATTTAAAATTACTAACGTATAACGAGTTTGAAATACTCTGGTGGTTTGAAGGTTTTGATACGTCATCGAGCAAGTTACACCAACTGAACTGTTGACAGATGGTTCGTTAAGAAGTACCTCCCAGTTTAGTGATTTTTAATATCCACTCTTTGCAGACTAACATTTTTTGAAAAGATATTAAGGATACGTTGAGATAAAATGGACATTCCTTTATATTGGCTTCCTAACGGTAGGTCATGATGTGCTATTCATAATTATAACGAAACTGCCGAAGTCAGTGATTCCCTCAGTTCATTGGGAGAATACTTATTATAATTGAATATCACCAGTATTGACTGTTTATTTGCCACGCTAAGTATTAGAAAGCTCCTTATTAACTAATTACCTACCTGCAACAGCAATACTGTAATATATCATATGTGGACTTGCAGGAGGTTTCAAAGGAATATAATGTCTACCAATTTGCATGTACGTGCCAAAGCACATACATCGGAAGAAACGAGAGAAGGGTTAGTGCTCGCATTTATGAACACATATCAGAGGACCTGAGACTGAATGGTCCAAAAGCATTAAACAGTGCGATTGTTCGTCATCTAATGGACACTGGTCATACTGTAGACAACCTGAAGTCGTTCAAAATAATCAACAAGCAAAAGAAACCTAGCTTGCTACGCTTTGCCGAAGCAATTGCCATCAAACGACCTAAACCAGATATATGTACACAGAAAGAGACAGTGGTGGATCTTGCACTTCCCTGGTGATAACAACTTTCATAAGTCACTTTTTCACGTTTAGAAAACTCTACTCTCTCATCTAAACATGACTCGCCCTACCTTGTTTCTTTTCTTCCCCTTTTTCTTTTGGCTATTAGATAAGATGATTTCTTTAGTTACGCGATCTACTTTTTTGTTATGCTCCTTCTATCTAAACCTTGTTTCTATACGCACACATATATATTTTATTTATTATTTATTATTTTCCTGCACGTTCCCAGTGGAACATAGGGGTCCAAGCTAGATGCCTGAAGTTTCTGTAGCAGTGGTGATTATTTATACAGGATGGGGTTGCTAGCCTCATGCCAAACCATTCCTCTTCACCAGTCTCACTACTGACTTAGGGAGGTAAAGGAGTGCACCGGCCGGGGATCGAACCCTGGACCATGTGCATGGTCGGTGAGCGTCCTAACCGCTATGCCACCGACGACACACATATATAAGCAACCCTGTTTTCTCGTTTCCAAGCCTAATCGTCTAATTGCTCTATAAATAGTCAGTGTTTTTAACTCCTAATCAGTTTAATCATTCCGGACCAGTGTTGCTTTTATTCCTACCAATTACTCCTTATGATCGTGGAAAAGTATGTCCATATATTTAATGTAGTTCAAATTTTTAACGTTCAGGTTGTAACCAGTTGAGAAGAATCCTCAAAATAATAAAAAAATGAGCTCAAATTATCCTGGTACAATTGTTGTTCTTGCTTTGTTCAAGTTTATCAATGTCTATTAGCTAAATACTTATTCTGGGGAACAAACGTGAAGAACCTGTCCTTTGTCAATTATCTTTGTTCAACGACATTAAACTCATCATGATAAGCAGGTTTATCAGATTAATGAGTTACCATGTTCTCATCCGCGTAAGGAAGTCTCATAAACAGAATCTTATAAACAACAAAACATAAGAATAAGGACACATAAGAAAAGAAAAACTCACATTTGACCTAAGTCGTATGAATTGTTGATAGTTACGTGAGTCAATTACAGAAATAATATCTGTGTACAAATATATCCATCACATTCTTTAAACTTTGATCCAAAGTGATATGTCTTCATAATTAGATGCGATATTCTGTCAATAATACTGAAGGTGTTATACTTTGATCGAGAAAGTCTTTTATTTTCAGAAATGGTAAATGAAAACAGTATTCTTCATATCAAGAACATTTACATTTATACCAAAGTCTGCTTTGTTTATAGTGGATATTTGTGGATGATAGCATGAGAAACAGTGAATGCGACAAAGTTTACTACAAATTTGAATGGCTTATATGATGAGGGGAAGTTTTATTTAACTCCTGGCTAAAATGACGTAATACTGCAAAATATTTAGATGCAATTCAAATACAGAAAATCTTCTCCAGATGGATTATTCACATCTCTGAATGACTTCTTATATTGCATCACAAGTTAGTATATATATATATATGTACTGATAAGAATAAAGATTATTACCATGATACTGAAGATGGTAGCGTTGCGTAGATGAATAAAGGAAACTTTAGAAGATTACTAAAGATTTGGGACTTTGAAAACAGGTCAAATATTGTCAAATAATTAAAGGTGGAATGTTAGTAGCAATAAAAAAAGAGATGAGCATAGGAACTGTGGTGAATCCAAGTGGTGAAATAAAATAAAACAATGACGACATATCTATGACCAGGATTAAGGAAAAGGGTTCCACAAGACATATTTGAATTCATTGTTTTAGGTTTTGGTGAATTTATACATTAAGTGTTGGCTAAATATATAAGTGGATAACACGTGGACATTTTTTTTGAATTGATTTGAGTTTTTTTGACTTTGATGACCTTATTTTGTTTCATTGCCTGTTCTTATTTCGTGTTATCTACTTTGTTTATGTGTGCATCCTGAGTAAAACTCACTCATCAAACTATTCATATTATTATATAACTTCTTTTAATTTAATTCTTTTAAATTAAAGCCAGATACATTGCATAAGTCATTGAGTCTACACATGCAAAACATCCTTTTAAGGTCATTGCTTATATTTTGTGCATACTCCACAATTAAATTTATAATGTATACTTATTTTCTTTCTCTGTAACAGGTGTTATATCTGACTGAGACAAGTAGTCTCCTTTCAATCTGCCTAACTGTGATCATTTGGACAGTGGTGGTCTGTATATGTTCATTGATATCCGCTATGCTTCCAAAAATCTCAAAGTAAAATCCAGACCAACAAGTGAAACAGAATTTGTCCATTACGATTCTTGCATGAATAAATCCACCTTTTTATTCCTGCTGTTGGTATGCCATTTGACATATCTACTCTGTAATCATATGTGTAAAAATTGTTTCATAGATTAGGACGACTTTCATTCATGTCTCTAATACTTCCATTATAGGTAAAATTTGTTTCGATAAAGTCTCACAGTGTTATACAGTTGTGTTAACTGGTGCCGTTTTGAGCATAATTATTGCTCATAATCATATCAAGGTACTCACACGACTTCCTAACTTCATTTATATAGTTCCATTATTTTTCACTTGATTTTCGCTTGATTTGATTGGTAGTAGTATTTTCCATATTTTAGGTATGATTGATGAATCATTTCTCTTGCATGTGTTACGTGTAGACTCGATGAACAAGGATTCAGTAATCAACCTCTCTCTCCACCTACCTATGTTACTTTTTAGAATTTTAATCCTCTCCCACCCATCATATTGTGTGATTGTGTGTTAATGCATGTATTGGAACCGCTGAGCTTTTTTATAAATTAGAAAGAAGAGAACACGAAGTTCAACAAAGATATCTTTTCGGCGATTTCATTTTCAAAAGCTGTACAATCGCATTTATATAAATTATTTTACATGGATACAATTATTATTTGTTTAATTTTACATAGTACGAAGGTGATAATAATTTTCAACTTAATATGAAAATTTGAAGGTACGAATATAGATTACAAGTGGTTTGGAGACAAGATTGCATAGGATTAGAAAACAGTTACAATGTATGCGAAATTAATATTTGATAACTGGAGAAATGAATTTAAAGTCGAATAAAGGGTGATAATTATTTTCAACTTGATATGAATTACAAGAAGCTTAGAAACGCAGAGATAGAACGAATTACAGGTGTGAACAAAATGAGCATGGAAACAAACTGAAATCAAAATTTTCAATTTGAAATGTTAGTTAGCAGGTGTGAATAAAGATTATAAGAGGCATGGAAACAAAAATTACACAGGATTAGAATTTAATTGTAAAATGGTTATTCCAAGGGAACTATAGATGTGAACAGGAAAAGCATGGAAACCAACTTAAAATAACTGTTTGTATAACTGAAAGCAAACTTTTGAATCGAATGATGACTGAGGGAATAAGGATCAGACACACAGCGAACGAAAAATGACCAAAAAGGGAAGAGAGGACGAAAAAA